GTCCCATTGCAATCGGCTAAGAGGTACTCTGACATTAGCTGGTACCATATGATGTCATATGCGAGTGTGTGTGTGTGTGTGTGTGTGTGTGTATGTGTGTGTGTGTGTGTGTGTGTGTGTGTGTGTGTGTGTGACTCCGCCCTCTTGGTCTGCCAGGCACACGTCCTTGTGGCGCATTTTTCAAACGTTAAATGGGAGTTGAGTTAGACTCTGGAAGGGGGTGACTTGCTCTTTAAGATAGAAAGATATGGGGTTTTAAACATGTATGCTTAATTCACTTAGTTCTCAAAATGTTACGTTTGACGTGGAATTTATCATCTTTTTGAAGACGATGTTTCCTTTTAAACAAAACCCTAAAACTTTGAATACATAGAGGGAATAAGAAGTCACTTCATTTCTATTCTCAAGGCAGTTTGATGAAAGGTGGTCATGTCTTTTATGATGCAAAAACCCTTTTATTCATATTTCACACAACAGCTAAAAGCTGCTTATTAAGTATAACCATTGTCTCTTAATGAGCAGCAGCACCTGTCAAAAGGGTCGGCAGAGCACCACAATAATCCTACTTTGGTTTTACCTTAAAGTCCCAGTTCATTTATAGGTTCATCATAGGTCACTTTTTATTCATTCTGACTCACTGTTTGGTTTGGAGTGAAAAACGAACAGAGGCTTCCATAAAAAATTACTAGAGGAGCAATTGCATGTGCCATCTGTCAACATCGACTACCAGCTGAGCCAAGTTGGATAATCAGACACTTGCTGAAGCCAGTCAGGTGGAGAGTGAAAACATCTGTTCATCTTTTGTGGCTCAATTTTCAATAAATTTTATTTATTTTTTCTGTTCTAGCTTTAGCACCATCTACACCAACCTTTTAAACCCACAATCACAGCCTTGACCAGTTTGATGCTCTGTTTGTATGATGATCCATCTTTGAAAATTAATTCAATCTGTAAATATCCTTCTCCATTTAATTGATTAGGGAGGCTTTAGGGTGGCTATAACAGTCCAGCTTGAAGATCAGGGCAGCACCAGTGCAGAGCTCACTTAGGTGCCACATTCTTCCATGAAAACCCTCAGAGTCAGACGGGTATTCTGTAAAAGGAGACAGTTATGGTGTAGACTAAAGTGTTGTTCTAATGGGTCACCTTTCCGATAGTTTAAGGCAGGGGTGTCAAACTCATTTTAGCTCACGGACCACATTGAGGGAAATCTAGTCCCAAGTGGACCGGACTGGTAAATTAAAAACAACTTCAGATTGTTTTCTTTGTTTTAATACAATCAATATAAAACAAAGCTGGAGCCTGAGGACAGTATATTCAAAATAGTACAAGTACAACACCTGAAGTGTACTTGAAAATTCGAAGAAAAAAAAATCAATAAATTAAAAAAACATAGTGATTCAAAGAGCTTACAGATCACATGGCTAGATCAGTTTTATGCAGCACTTAAAGTATATTTGACTCATTTTACTTCACATCTTTTAGCTTTCACCAGCAACTCAACATCAGAAGTCACATCCTGAGTGGTAGCCAACTTCAGGATGTGATTCAAGTTCTTGTGTGAGCCTTGAGCGCAGCTTTGTTTTATTTATACTCATTACAGAGGAAACTTGCTCACAAAGATAAGTTTATTTTCACTCTACATTGTAAAGTATGAAAATAAAGTTTACACAACCATCTCGCGGGCCGGATTTAACTTGCTTGCGGGCCGGATCTGGCCCGCGGGCCGCATGTTTGACACCCCTGGTTTAAGGCATCAAAACACAGTGGTGAATAAAGGGAGACGAGGCAGTTTTGGCTTGCTTTTAGCACTCCCTGGTGTCCGTTTAGTAAAACCAAACACAAAACTCCTCTCCTCGCTGTGCGTTTGTCTTTTTAACACCTTAATCTAACAGTTGAAATGTCTCCTTAGCCTTCATTAGTGTCTACAGCAGTGATTCATCACTCAGCTGTGTTCACGATCTAAAACAGGGGTGGGGAACCCTGGTTCATCGAGGGCCGGTATCCAGCATATTTTAGTTTCAAGTCTGCTTCAACACACCTGATTTTAATCAGCAGGTGATTAACAGGCTTCTGCAGAGCTTGATGAGCTGCTGAACAGGTGAATCAACCGCTGAATCAGAAGTGTTGGAGCAAAGACATGCAGGGTACCGGCCCTTGAGGACCAGGGTTCCCCACTCCTGATCTAAAACATGCAGGAAACATGCTGGAAGCAGACTGCAGCGCCAGGTGCAACAGACCGGGCCAACAACTCTAAAGTTGCAGGTGGAATATTCTGGCCACAGGGGGCCTTTCATTAACCCTGTAAAGGGGTAATTTTAGCACATACTGACTCGAGGAAATGATTTAAAAATATGAAAAAGTTGCATAGTGTCTCTTTTAAGAGCAACTTATCCCAACCCTCCACACATTTTGGTGTTGTACAAGACTTAGAACATGTTTCCATAAGATTAAAATGGTATCCAAGAAGCTCAGGAACCAAAACGCCCAGGCCATAATTCCACTGAAAATGTGTGTTCTGTCCTAAAGGTAGGTGAAACAAAAACCTACACATTTTGACGAAATCTAAGCAATGATTATGCTGGAATGAACTTCCACAGTCTAAATTTGGCCCAGATGTTTATTCACAACACACCATGGTGAGGGTTTAAGAACAGACCATCAGTACTAAAATGGTCTTGGAATTAAAGCTGCTAGAGCAAAGTTCTGCCCCTTAATAACATTCTAACAGAGTATAGCTATAAATATATTGTGGAAAAAAATAAATAAAACACCTCCGCCAATGACTCGTTTCAGACTAAAAGCAACTATTGGACCATCCGGTTGTCGGTCTCGCAGAACCTTTGCACTTCCCTAGGTCCTCCATTCATTACGCACTTGCATATTTAACTACATAACACCACTGGTGTGAGAGGTTTGCAGCTAAATAATACCAGAGAAGGAGAAACAGCCGGCTGCTACCACTTCAAGGACAAACTACCAGAGTCTCAAATTCAAATTCAAAAATACTTTATTAATCCCAGAGGGAAATTCAACAAAACTGCATTTAGAGTCACTGACAACAAAAGACGTTTGGAAGTAGAAAACGGTGACTGGTGTTTAGCACTATCTTGTTTCCTCCGACAATGTGGGTTTCCGGTTCCGACAGAGGCGTTTCAAGAAGGATACCAGAGGGGAGGGGTGAGTGTTCAAAACCTAGCTTGTTCTGTAGAGTCACTATACCAGTTTTAAACCTCAGTGCACCGTACAAATACACCTAAAACCATCAAAGCACCAAATATTATGACAAACCAAACCTTGTGTCACTCTCAAAACATCTGACCATAGAAACCACTTCTAACCAAAGGTTGATCCTTAACAGTCTTGGTCATTTACCTCATAGATTTGTCCATTTTATGAAAAAAGTGACCTGCAGCTTGTACACCTTGGTGAGCAAAAAGATATAAGGAACAAAATTTTAAATAAAGAAAGACAAATCAAAGGACTCTCAGATGCAGCTTGAAAGATTTATGAAGTTTTAATATAAATTATGGTGCGTTAGCCTTTCTGGTAATTCTGGTGATAACTCGCAGTAGCAACATGGTTCCCATTCTGCTGTTGGCACAGAGGCATGCCGGCCATTTGTTCAGGACACGCTGATTGAGCTGTCAAAGCACACGCATGCTTACAAAGGCACACATACTTCTGGAGACGTGCGGATAAATCATTCCTACTCAGGCATGTGCTGGCTTTATCTCTGCATATCTGCCAGTGTATAAATCTCAACGAGCCAAGCGCGAGGGAAGGTCAGCGGAAGACACTCTGAGAATTAGAGGAATCAGCTGGGCTGAGTTGGATGGGATGGGTCGGGAGGGAATCGGATCCGGTATACGGAGAGACGGGGAATCACGGTAACTGAGGCAAGAGCGAAACAAGGCTGTCTCTAAAGGGGCTTGTGCTTGTTCTGACACTCTTACAGCACCTCGCGGATACACTCCATTACACCCACAGTGAAAAAAACTCAAACACACCGTGGTATGTTTCTTTTATTCGTCCCTTTCTCTTCACCCTGACCACTAAGTCAAAGTGGCAGCCTTAAGAGTGATGATGTGACTGGGACTGCTTGGAAGAGTTTATTTCTGGAGATCTGACGTATGATCTAGGTCTACTAAATTTATATTTAGGCCCAATTTTTCCAGATTGTTAGGTGCATTTCTGTAGTACACGCCTTTCTGGTGCACTTGTGCTGATAACACTTATCCTCATTTGTTTGCTGTGTGTTTGTGTGACTGTACGTATTCTTATGGCCTGCCACTGAACAAACTCATTAAGGAACAAACTCTGCTTCAAACCAACCAGAAAATTACCTCCCAAGTCGAACAGGACGACCCAAGGACAGACGAGCAGCGCCTCTGCCACATCCAGTCAGAGCGCAGAGCCTAATGAAGGCTTAGTTGGCTTATCCAACGCTTAGGATGTGTCACATTCAACACCCCACTGAATGTAACACCAGCCTTACTGCTTGTTGTAATTTAATTTTAGGAGTTTCTGAAGAAAATTTCAACATAACATAAGCAAGTACAGCTTTGTAATGGCCTGCTGCCTAAAAGCTAAATGCAGCATCAACCAAACGGGTTGAGCAGAAATTTGCTGAGGTGTTAGTTAAGAATGATACATCTGTGCCGGTTTGGTCAGGCCTTTGCTTTCTAGGAAGGATCTAGTGACGGTCACCTGTGTCTCTACTCTACCTCGACTGCTGTAACACCCCGTATGCTGGGCTGTTAGCCCTCGCTGTCACGGCTGCAATTAGCACAGAAGGCTAAAGCTGGAATCATTTGTGGCATAATCTGCTTAACGGTCTTTTGCTTCTTTGCTTTTACTGTTTTTATCTTTTGCCTTTATGCTTTTATTTTGGCGATGATTTTGGGAAGTCTCCTCTTGTAATATTTTATAGTTTATGATGTTATCTGTTTTTAGGGTGCAACACTTGACTGGTGGTAGTATGGTGTGCTGTAAATGAATGAATGAATGAATGAACAAATGAATGAATGAATTCACTGACTGCTAAATAATATAAACTGTTGTTTTCTTTAGCGAAACACAGACATACTTAATTTTTTGAGACAATCCAATTGTCACCACAAGAAAAAAAATGTTACTTGACATTTAATGTCTTAAAAGGCACAGAAATGACTGACCTGGCCCGCCACGCCAGTGCTTTCTTATGGGAAGCACACGACCTGGTAACGCTCCTACTAAAATAACTCCACCACCTGAGAATTTTAACCGGGCCAATCAGCGCTGAGTATCGTAAGTCACACACCTCGCTCAGCTTTTCATAAACAACAAAGACGGCGTCTGAGTTCGCTGCGGCTCTTTCCTCTACTCTAAATGACTTGGACACGTCTTTAAAACCAAAAACAAGAAGAAGCGCTAAAAGCCTTTCTGCTAAAGTAAGATGTTTGCACCGTCACCAGACGCCATCTTTGACTACCGATAAAAAACAACATCCAGTCGTCATATCCACCTTTTTTCTGATTGGTTATTTTTGAGCTGGCTAGTCCCGCCCCTCATGGTGGGCGGATCCAGACTCGTCCTCTATGTAGAATAGACAGAGGACGAATCCGGCAGGCCAGGCTACCGGTTTACAGCTTTTGACCTACAGTTTAGTGCAGCAACCGCTGACTCGTTGATTTGCATACTTTGAGAACTAATGTAGATCATTGCAACATTTTGTGAGGGTTACATATAGATGGCTACCTGTTAACTCCATTATTTATTGAAGAAAGAACTCAATTATAACCCGAATGACACTTGGAAATAGTTGATTTTGAGTGGATATTTAGAGTAAACAGCTGGTCAATGTTTTATCAGTCAATAACACAACTCTTGCTAATCCTGTGGTATTTCTGAGCCAGTAGCTTCCAATTAAGTAGTGTTATCTGGGGAGATGTTGCTGACAGTATCAATACCATCTATGTGACCTTCTGTTCTTCTTCTCGTTCCTCGGTGCTCTCGAGTTGTCTCATCTCCTTCCTTCCTGTACACTTACTGACTTTCCTCTCAGCTCTCACATGTATGGATGTCACTTTTAATTGTTCTTCACCAAACTTTTACTGAGACTGACAAATGTCATGAATTTCCGTTCGGGTTTATTACGAGAGTCTCAGACTGAGTGTCACCTAAATGGTTTAATTATAAAGGTAATTGTCGCCGCGTTGTAGCGCTGGGGACTCAACGGAGTACGATTGCTTTTGCTAATGCCCCTGCTAAATCTACAGCAGCCTTCAGTAACAATGTCATTATGTGTATTTGTTTCTTTTTACAGTGAAGACTTGTGGCAGTAATCTTCAGGGGCCTTCAGGGACTTTTACATCTCCCAACTTCCCAATCCAGTATGACAGCAATGCACAGTGTGTGTGGATAATTACGGCGTCGAATCCCAACAAGGTAAATCCCACTCTCCTTGCCTTTTTAATGCGATATGTCTAACAAACGTAGTCTAAATATGTATCTAATTAACAAAACGTTGTTTGCTGTTTTAACTTGACCATTTGTTCATGCAATCACAAGAACGACATCCGCGTGTCTCACACTCGGAGCGTGAGAGTTGGATGTCCTGCTTTTTATGCAGGATGGGAATTAGGGATAATAAGAGTGACCAAAAGGAGAAGTCTGTGCCTGCAGGTTAAGTGGGGTGAAAGTGAGGCCTCTGAAATATTAAACTAGTCGGAACAGCTCTGACGGATCCAGCGAGAGCCATGCCTGACAGCATAGGTTCTGCCTTTCTGAAATGAGCTTGTTTATTCTGCCGTGTTTTAGTGGCTCTAATGTATGGGGTTGAATATTTTACACAAATAAAACAGGCTGGTGTCGAATTCTGTGAGATGAGTTAATCCAACAAAGGGGTCGATGTTGGAAATGTGATTGATGTAAACCCGGTCGCTCTGTGACCCAGGAGGAATCTGATTGGTATTCTGAAATGCATCCTCGTTCAGCGCCAGGTCTCTGTGGTGACTGCACTGTCGTCAAGGGCAACACCTGCATCAGCATGACAGAGCTGTCCTGACACTTCCACGCAAGCACCACAACGCCTCTACACGTATGCGTGTGTTGAAAATGTTGCGTTTTCTGCTACCCTCAGCATTCCGTGACTTTCCTAAAAACAAAAAAGAAATAAAAATAAAAAGCTTCACTCCTAAAGTCCCACACATGGAGCTCTCTCTGTCACCACCCAAGGCCTCTGGTTTATGGCCTACAGCAATACATTCTCCATCCAAGGCTACACCGTGTGACTGCCGAAGGTTAGCTTACTAATACGCTTCTACACTCTTCCCAGTGTGTGTGCACTTGTGATAGACATGAGTCCAAAATGTATGTTTATGTGTTTTGAATGATAATGGAAATGGCTCAACACATTGACCATAATGAAGCTCAGATAGTCTCAAGCTACATCAAGACATTTATACAGTCCTTTTCTGGTAGTACCATATCACACACTGGGATGTCACTCACTACATCACGTCCATGTCACATACAACACTTTTATCCGACATCATGTCTACAGGATGATGCGCTGGACTGAATCATGCCATTTACCACCCTACACCGCCTTGTGCAGAGCACGTCTTAGATGGCATTCATCAAAGCAGAGTTCATCAGGTGCCTATAAATGTGTAGAGCCCCGTACATTAAAGAGGTTGGCATCCGTTTAGAATCAAACACCTTGAGTTGGATAGGTGGATCATACAAGGTAACTTAAACTTAGTATTGTTTTGTTTTTTCTGGTTGTTGGTACTGGAGGTGGCATCTGTGGCTGAACCGGTAGAGGGGTTGTCTACGGTCCAGAGGTCATAGGATGGATCCTCAATAGTTGCAGGCCACATGCCCCATCAATGTGATACAAATCTGAAATCTGAATTTGCGTTATTATGTACACACAACACACACATTTACGCTTCTGAGATGATTTCATTCACTGTTCACATGACTAAACCATTATACACCCCCCCCCCCCCGAAACAGGCAAACAAATGGTGACAAGATGGAAAAAATATCGCTTGATAATATCAGCCCAATTTTATTTATCGAACCAATACCGATATGTTAAAAAAAACTAACATGGGCCGATACCGATATTGATGCCGATATGTCGTCCATCCCTACTAGGAATAAAAGTCAACCTCCTCGAAGTTCCTACGTGACTTTACAACTTATAAGTTGAAATAATCACGTGTTGAATGAACAAGATGTTTAAATCATCAAGGATGGCGTTAAAATGAATATTGTTCCTGCAATGATCCATTTTAAATCTGATTTACACCAGATCAGTATCTATGTACTCATACACATTATACCTGGGAGCACACTTTTTCTGCGAGTATTTCACCAGATTGTTCAACCTCCAGCAAAAAACTACAACAGACTCCTTTTCATCAGTGGCAACGGGTGAAGAGGCCAATGTGTGAAACAACGTTTGCGATCGATGAAAGTTTGGTAACCCTTTGTTACAAATCAGTAAATGCATTTTGTCCTTACAGGCTCCCATAGAAGGGAACATTGCGTCTAATATGTTATCGCGCAGAGACTCCCGCCCAAATTTTTATGGTTATGTTACGAAGCCGCCAATATTTTTCAACAACTGGACAACAATTCATTCATTTTCAACATTTCAATGGATATTTCCAGAGATTAATGGTAAAAACCACACGTTGTCTCTTTAAGTCATTTTAAAAATGACCTCCACCTTTGGCCACTGTGTTTGTTGATGAGGTTGCCACAAACAAAGCATTGTTTTTTAGTGCAAAGACATTGTTTTAGCCACTCTGTGGAGAAACTAACGGACTTTTTATAACGCCCTGGTTTGAAATGATCTATAGACAAATATTTTTGATTCTAGAAATCTCAAAGTGATTTAAGAAATATCCTATGGTAACTGAAAATCTGCATAATAAACCAACTTTCGTCACATTAATCAGCGAAAGTCTGGGAGACTCCGTGAGACGGAAGACAGACGAAGGTTTTAAGAAGAGAAGATAAAGGAACAGACATGAAATCAACATAATTACCAAATTCCCTTTGACTTTCATTTGTCTAACACAACGTGAAGAGTCACTTTCACTGTAACAGTAATAGGAATAAATGTCCCTGGACTTGAGTTATTATCCCTGATACTGTCGGTGCTTTTCACTGCTATTCTGTTAAAGACCATTTCCAGATTTCAAATTAATTTATGGAGTTTATTATACAGAATAATCGAAACACGATCGCATAATAAAGCAAATTGTTACTCAAAATTAGCTTCATATGCTAACGCCCCCATTTTTTTGATGGACTCGGTATGGAAATGATGCGGCTAGATATTAGATCCAAGCTGTTGGGGAATGGACAAAAAAAACTCTTTTTTTTTTCCTTTTTAAACATTAAAAACTATTTATTTGGAGTGGCCACGGTCTCTATCAGTGGAAACGGCTTTACTCACAGTTGGTGCCAAGCTGGTTTTAAGCGTTTATATCCCCATGTCGCTTTTCGGCTCAAATATTTGAGCTCAGCGTGAAATCGTGGAGAGGGACGCGTCACGTGGTGATGAAACTTATTGGGTTTTGAAAAGAGCGTGCTCGGGTTGGGCAGGTGGCAGAGACAAATGCGCTGTGGGAAACTGGCAAGCGGACAACAGGTAACAAGCAACAACTGCCAAAGCAGAATGAGAGCGCCGTCTGCCTGGCACCCCCGCTGTAAAGAGCTGTTCTCCATTACACCGATATTGAGACAACGAGGAGCAGCTTAGCAAACTGGAGGCTGGTCAGCTGTTTGGAAAGAAAAGCTAGCCGATGTGAGAGCGTGAGAGACGCCAGAGCAGCTAGAAGAACAAATCTGGGGTAATTGAATAGCCTCAGCTGATCCCGCCTCTAACAGAAACAGCTTTTTTCTTTTTCCAGCTCGTGCCGTTTCATCTTATACCCTCTTGCTGTGTTTTCCAGGCCTGATCCCTCTTTTCCCTTTTTTTGCGTACCAGCTCTCCTCCCACTTCACTCCCGGAGGCTCTGTCCTTAGAATTACCCAGATTCTTCATTAAGGAGCTCAGGCTGAAACCATTAAACTACTATGGAGAAAGGGGGAGGAACGAGAGCACAAGAAGGGAGAGAAAAATACTGTTTTTCATCGTTTCACTTGCATCTCTGCCCGTTGCACCCATTTGCACATTTCTTACTGTCTCCTTATGCCCCGAAGATAAAAAGACACGCGGTTTTGTAGCCCATCTTTTCTTCTACGTGTGTTTGTAAGCCCTATTTCTTCTCCTCCTTTCGTTCCATCCCTCGGCTCCTTCTTTCTCAGGTTAAGTGTTAATGGAGTTCTATAGCTCTCTGATGTTATTGCTTCATTTAGTTTTGGCAGAATGAGCCTTTGGAGCCAATTCATTCTCTCCTGTTCCCATTTAACCTTGAGGATAGTAGAACGGGATGGCCATTACTGGAGTTCTCTTCTCTTCTCTTTTCAGTGTGCTATTATTATCACCCATTAATCCCCCGCTCCATCCCCAATTTGCTTTTGCCTTTTTTTTCTTGTGAAAGTTTCTATTTTCAGTGTTTTCAGTAAATAAACACATTATTGTGTTTATGATGTATTTCACTCATTTAATCACTACATTTGCAGTGGTCTAGAGTAGGAATGAGTGCCTTATAAGTGGGTCTCTGATGCACCCGTTTCAGGAAGTACGAGTCAGCCAGAGGAGGAGCTTAACACGACAGGATTTGGAGACTTATTTCCTGATGTTGGGACACCTCGCCTCAGATTAAACAACAGTGCCTTTACCACTGACTCTGCTTTGCATCATTGATGTTTTATCTCCACAAATAACTCAAGCCTGGAGGAGTTCTGCCATGTGGTGGAGTTGCTAATGCTAACAGTTAGCTTCCACTAAGACGTTCTACTGTTTCCTGGACATTAAGCCTAGAATATCAGGAAGTAATAATGAGTACGACCATATCCTCCATATAATGCCGTTTTCTGCTCTGCTCTGACTAGCTTCTGGTTTCAGAAGCAGGAACACCTCTGATCTCTGGTTTAGGGTTAGGTTAAGTCTATAAGAGGTTTTTGTTGGAACAGAGAGCACAACATGGCGACTATGACGCTGTCTATGGTAAATGGTAAATGGCTTGTATTTGATATAGCGCCTTCTAGAGTCCTGGAACCCCCCAAGGCACTTTACAACACAATCAGTCATTCACCCATTCACACACACATTCACACACTGGTGGGGATGAGCTACAGTGTAGCCACAGCTGCCCTGGGGCGCACTGACAGAGGCGAGGCTGCCGAGCACTGGCGCCACCGGTCCCTCCGACCACCACCAGCAGGCAAGGTGGGTTAAGTGTCTTGCCCAAGGACACAATGACAGCAACAGACTGAGCGGGGCTCGAACCTGCAACCTTCCGATTACGGCGCGAGCA